CCAGTGTTATACAGTGACAGACCTGTCCCCACCGGTACTGTACCCCAGTGTTATACAGTGACAGACCTGTCCCCACCAGTACTGTACCCCAGTGTTATACAGTGACAGACCTGTCCCCACCGGTACTGTACCCAAGTGTTATACAGTGACAGACCTGTCCCCACCGGTACTGTACCCCAATGTTATACAGTGACAGACCTGTCCCACCGGTACTGTACCCCAATGTTATACAGTGACAGACCTGTCCCACCGGTACTGTACCCCAGGGATATACAGTGACAGACCTGTCCCCACCGGTACTGTACCCCAGTGTCATACAGTGAGAGACCTGTCCCCACCGGTACTGTACCCCAGTGTCATACAGTGGGAGACCTGTCCCCACTGGTACTGTACCCCAGTGTTACTCAGTGACAGACCTGTCCCCACCGGTACTGTACCCCAGTGTTACACAGTGACAGACCTGTCTCCACCGGTACTGTACCCCAGTGTTATACAGTGACAGACCTGTCCCCACCGGTACTGTATCCCAGTGTTATACAGTGACAGGCCCGTCCCCCACCGGTACTGTACCCAAGTGTTATACAGTGACAGACCTGTCCCCACCGGTACTGTACCCCAGGGATATACAGTGACAGACCTGTCCCCACCGGTACTGTACCCCAGTGTCATACAGTGAGAGACCTGTCCCCACCGGTACTGTCCCCCAGTGTTACACAGTGACAGACCCGTCCCCACCGGTACTGTATCCCAGTGTTACACAGTGACAGACATTCCCCGCTTATTGATAGGCCCATGCCCACTAGTCACTTTATCCCCTTCAGCAGGGGTCCATGGAGAGAGTCCAGTTTTGAGTAGCCCTCTGGCTGTATAATACCGACAGTATAACTTCAGTCGCCACGCCAATAAATCTTCCATTGAACTCTGCTGTGGCATCGTTCTGTGCTCTGGTGTCCACCGAGGGTTGGTGGCCCTCAGTTTCTGCTGGGGCTCCCTCGATAGGTAGCACACATCTGTGGTACTTCCTGCTGCCTAAACTTGCAGCTTTCAGCTCCAGGAAATCACAAACTCTCATGGCTGGAGCTGTCTGATAGTTCGAGGCCTTTCATAGCCAGCCCCTCAGTGCCCTGCTTCATCCATGGGTGAGACAGGATCTGGTCCAGTGTTGGGCGATCAGATGGGCGGAGAGACAGACACCACTGTATGAGATCTTGGCACTCTGTAACAAAAATGCAAAAGAACTGTCAGATTACAAAATCAAAAAATACTTAAGAACAGAAGTAGGCCAATCTTGCTGTGCCATTTAATTAATATTATCGTGGCTGATGATCACTTATTCACCCCATCACTCCATACCCCACGTAGAATCAGAAATTTATCAATCTCTACCTTAAACAGAGAAAGGCTGAGCTGACAGCCCTCTGGGGTTGGGAATTCCAAAGGTTCCTAATTCAGCAAATGAAAGAAGCAGGAAACTGGTGACTGTGTGACAGAACATGTGATCATAATGTGTGGAGTTTGCCCATTGGAAACAGAGCTAGCGTGGGCTCCTTTGCTGCCTGATTAACTGGTGGAAGGTGTGTGAGACAGTGAGTGGGAAGTTCATTAAGTTTCAACGTTGCTGACTGAGTATGGCTGCTGACAAGACAGTCACTAATAAATCCAAACCAGGAATCCAATAAACCATCTACATCCCCAGAGCAGCGAGAGGGTAGAAATCACTTCTTTAGGGAGTAATCAAGGGGAAGAAAATTGCTAAGATTAAGAGGAAAGCTGGATAAACACGAGAGAGAAAGAATGATGTTGATGCTGTGGGGGCACTGAGCAGGAGAAACACAAGCACCCTCTTTATACAAAAACCGAAAGAACTGCAGATACTGTAAACCAGGAAGAAAAACAGAAGTTGCTGGAAAAGCTCAGCAGGTCTGGCAGCATCTGTGAAGAAAAAATCAGAGTTAATGTTTCGGGTCCGGTGACCCTTCCTCAGAACATTAAGGGTCACTAGACCTGAAATGTTAACTCTGATTTTTTTCTTCAGAGACGTTGCCGGACCTGCTGAGCTTTTCCAACAACTTCTATTTTTGTTCCCCCGTATATATTTCAGGCTGCGAGTTGATTGATCAAACAGAGAATGAGACACACCTGCAGAAAGAGGCCGACGAAAGGGAATTGTTCCTTGTGTAATCTCCTCGTCCTGTTCAAAAGGGATGTCTCCAAAGACCAGATCATACAGCAGAATCCCGAGTGACCACACTGTGGCTGAGCGACCATGGTAACGGTGATGGGTAATCCACTCTGGGGGGCTATAAACACGGGTACCTGCAACACACACATACACAATGCAGGTTTGATTGTACACTCAGGGAGGCCTGTACACAGTCACACTGGCTGTTGTAGCATGAACCAGAGAGAGATATTTACCATCAAAGTCTGTGTAGATGGTATCCCGCAGCAATGCTCCAGATCCAAAATCAATGAGTTTGAGCTCGAGAGTGCGGAGATCCACCAGGATATTCTCATCTTTGATGTCTCGATGGACCACACCACAACGATGACAGTGTTCCACTGCCTCCAGCAGTTGCCTGAAGAAGCCGCGGGCTGTCTCCTCAGATAGTGCACCATGCTCCGTGATATAATCAAACAAATCCTGCACCGGCTCTGGGCGCTCCATGATCAGGAGAAAGCCATCAGGCTGTTCATACCAGTCCACCAGCTGAATCACGCCTCGGAATCCAGTTGACACCTTCCTCAGCAGCACAATCTCCAGGGGGACCACACATCCATTCTGTCCAAACAACCAAATCAGATCCTTGTCAGTTTTCCCCCCTTTTGCAACACAGCAGACATTAACCTCAGAAATAAACTGACCCCTCCCTGAGGGAAGATCTCCAGGCATCATTACCCCTAGAGACCACCCCCTTATCTCTATCCCATCCACCTTATATCCTCTTCCCCCTCCCATTGTACTCATCTCCCCAGCCCTTACTCAGAGCCTCATGCTTCAGGCTCACCCAGCAGCAAGTGGGTCTGCAGCACAAAGAGAGAGGGTGGGGGGGGGGGGGGGGGGGGG